GAGCAGGGAGCCCGATGCGGGACTCGATCCCAGGACTCTGGGATCATGACCTGAGCCGAAGGCAGATGCTCAACCATCTGAGCCACCCAGGCACCCTTAATTTCATAATGTTTAACTACATGAAATCATTACATAATACTTTCAATTATATAATTCGATTTGCCAATCATACCTCACAAACCTGAAGGAGGGGGGCAGATAGAAGAGAGATGTACACATTACAAAAAGATCCATACAGGGACGCCAGGGTGGCTCAGTCGGTTAAGCGTCTTCCTCTGGCTCAGGTCATGATCCCAGGGTCCTGGGATCGAATCCTGCACTGGGGGTCCTTGCTCAGAGGGGAGCCTGCTTCTCCCTCTGCCTGCTGCTGCTCTCTCTCTCTGACAAATAAATAAATAAAATCTTTAAAAACTAAAACCAAAAGATCCATACAGGACATTCTTGAGAACTAGCCCATGGTCCTTTAAGGTAGTGACCATACGAATGCCTCCAATTTCAGGCACAGGAAGGCACAAGGAATGTCACCTAAGAGAAGGGGCAAAACCTAGGCCATCGAAAAGTTATGGACTAGATACATGGACCCAGCCAGGGAGAGGGCAAGCAAGGTACAATCCATCAGCCTCACTGCATGACCACTGACCTCCAATCTTACCCAATCAGGGCTCAGCATAGAGGGCACTGGGAGCTGCAGGGCAGAGAAAAGGGCACACCGACAACTCAGAGCTAGCAACAAAAGCAACTAACCAGAAAGCTGGGGAAGGAGGCAGTGCCCACAGTCCACAAGAGAGAAGGACAAACCTACCCTGGAAAATGCAGAGGGGGGACGTGGGAGTACAGAGTCTAGTCCAGGTCAAAGGGGGGGCTGAGGGCCTTACCCAATGAGGATATAAGCGTAAAGTTCTCCAGCATCACATGGTGGTACAGCTGTCTCTGAGCCTCATCAAGAAGCCTCCACTCCTTCCAGGAGAAGTACACGGCAATGTCCTCAAAGGTCACACCACCCTTTCATGAAACAGACAGATGAAACCATGAACATCCTCTCTCTGAGAACCCACAATCCAACCCCCCACACATCCACCCCAGTCTCCCCACCTCAGAATAAATACCAGGTCCTGGGGCCTATAATGCCACGCTCTCCTCACCTTCCCATCAATCACTGTGTTGAGTCCTTGGCAGTAACAGGAGGGGGAGACATGGATGCACTCTAAGCTCTGGGTCTGGCCTGCAAGGTCCCATCCCTCTGCCACGATATTCCCATGGAGTCTCCCACGCTGTGCCCTCAAGACAGCCA